CTTTATTGATTTTAAACAGAGAGGAAGGGAGAGGGAGATAGAGATAGAAACATTAATGAGAGAGAACATCGACTGGCTGCCTCCTGCATGCCCCCCACTGGGGACCAGGCCCACAACCTGGGCATGTGTCTTGACCGGGAATTGAACCAGCGACCTCTTGGTGCATGGGTAGACGCTCAACCACTGAGCCACACCGGCTGGGCTAATTACTTAATTTTTAAAAAATATGTTTTTATTGATTTTTTAGAGAGAGAGGAAGGGAGAGATAGAAACATCCATGTGATAAGAAATATCGATCGGCTGCCTCCTGCACACTCCCTACTGGGGATCAAGCCCAAGACTCTGGCATGTGTCCAGACCAGGAATCAAACGGGACCTCTCAGTCCATGGGACAACACTCAATCCACTGAGCCACACGGGTGAGGTCAAATTACTTAATTTTTTATATAAAGGCCCTATCTCCAGGTAGAGTTCCATTCTGAGATTCTAGGGATAGGAACTTCAACATATAAATAAAGGGGGACATAATTCAGTCCATAATTCTCTTCCTATTGGACCCCCAAATTCATGTCTTTCTCACATGCAAAATACATTCACCCCATCCCAAAGCCCACACTGCTGAACCCATTCTGTCATCAACATTAAGTCTCAAATCTTATCTAAATATCCTCTAAATCAAGTGTGAGTGATACTCGAGGCATGATTCACCCTGAGGCCAAATCCTCTTGAGGTGTGGACCCGTGAAAACCAGACAAGTGGTCTCAGTCTAAAACACAGTGGTGGGACAGGCATCAGATAATTATTCTTACTGCAAAAGGCAGAATTTGCAAAGAATTAAGTGATCACAGGTCCCAAGCATATCCAAAACCTAACAGGGTAAGTTCTATTCAATTTTAAGTCTTAAGAATAATTATCTTTGGCTTCATCCACTGTCCTTTGGGCTCATCAGGACAGCAACCCTGCCTCCCAGGCCCACTGAGGTGGCACTGTACCGTCTTCAGTCCTGGATGGTGGCTCCATCCTCACTGCACTAGGCATCAGCATTGCAACCTTCGCTATAGGGGGAAGCTCTGCCCCCATGGCCTTGGATGGTAACCCCACTTTCATGACCCTATGTGCCACCTCAACCCCCGAAGCCCTAGGTTGCATCCGCCTGGCCTTCTGTACATTTTGGACCCTCTTAGGTTCAGTAAGTAGGCTTTCAATAACAAATCCACTCCAACATTCTAATGTCTCTCAACTTTTGAATGTCTTCCTGTACGTTAAACCAAGACAGGCCTGGCATTGCTAACTCACTATCTATGAGCCACTTTCCGGTCCATGTTTTAGCCAATAAACCAAATAAATTGTTATAGTCCTTCTAACTGGCCAGGCTGCTACAGTAAAGGCAGAATCATTGCTTAGTGAGCCCATTTCAATACATTTGGCCTAATCTAACTTTAGGTTCCTTCCAGCACTATGCTTTACCCGTAATATCCATCCCTGCACGTGTTCTCTGCACTACTGTCTGTACAGATTAGAAAATGTAAGAAGTTATTTTGGAGTTCAACTTGCATTGCAGTTGAGCCAATCACAGGACAAGATGTTGGGTCTGATTTTCAGTAGTATCAGTCCCATGGCTATAGCGCCTCAGGGCACATATAGGAGCCATCAGGTGGTTTATGCAGCCCTTCCACTAGAAATTCAAATTCCTGAACAAATCTTTTTCATTCCCCACTCTGCTCAGTCACATTAGAGGTTTCCAGTCTATCTTCATACCATCGGTTACATATAAAGTATTAAAAAGTATCATATACAGAGCCACGCAGATGCTTCCTTTTTATAAGTGGTTGGTTCAAAGTATCCAATGGTTATATTTGGTGTATAGCTGTTGTCCCATCACGCTATGGACTATCAGTATTCTCTTTACTACTGGAAATAAAGTCATTAGTGTATTTAAATAGAATCAAATTAGAGAGTCAATTTCAGAAACCTCAGATCCAGTTTAGAAAACTCATCCTTAAAATTCGGTTCCTCTAGAATCACCACTCCCCAGGGAAACAGAACTCTGTGTGTGTGTTTGTGCGTGTGTGCGTGTGTGTGTGAAGAAAGAGAAAGGGAGAGAGATTGATTATTACAAATTGCTTCACATGATTATGAAGACTGGGAAGTCCCAAGATCTACAGGTTGTGTCAGTAAGCTGAAGACTCACTCAGAAAAACCTATGGTTTACTTGTAATCTAAGTTTGAAGATGTGAGAAGGAGGAGAACCAGTGGCATAGTTCCCGTCCGAGTCTGGAAGGCTTAAGACCCAGGAAAAGCCAATGTATCAGTTTGATTTCAAAAGCACTGTGGGGGGTGGGGGGATGATGTACCAGTTTGAAGAAAGTCAAGCAGGAAAGAATTCTCTCTTACTTAGGAGAGGGCCAGACTTTTTGCTTTTTAATGTCTCTTTGAAAAAAAAAATTTTTCTTTATTTATTTGAGAGAGAAAGGAAGGGAGAGGGAGAGAAAGAGAGAAATATTGATAACAGAGAACATTGACTGGCCGCCTCCTGCATACCCCCAGCTGGGGATCAGGCCCACAGCCTGGGCATGTGCCCTGACCAGGAATCAAACTGGTGACCTCTTGGTGCATGGGTCATTGCTCAACCACTGAGCCACACTGGCCAGGCTGTTTTTTCATGTCTTCATCTGATTAGATGAGGCCCACCCATATGAAGGAGGACAATATGCTTTTCTCAGTCTGCTGAGAACATCCTCAGTCATCCAAAAACATCCTCAAAGAAACACCAGAATAATAATAATAGACAAAATATCTGGGTACCCTGTGGTCTATTCAATTTGACATATAAACTTAATCATCAAAAATGTGTTATATAATTTCCATAACAAATCAAGTTGTTGGAGGGAGTGATAAACTATTCAATAAAGTGTGGTCAGTAAGTGGCTACCTATTCAGAAAAAGTAATTTTTTATTATTCATATAACATAAGCTTATTTTAGAAAATTTTGAAAATGTAAAAATAAAAAACTAAAATCTCACATTTGTTCAGATGTAATCATTGTTAACATATATAAGAACATGCATACATTTGTGTATATGTGTGTGTGTGTGTGTGTGTGTGTGATTTTTTTACTCCTGACACTTGTGGTTTCTTCTTGCTAAAAAGAATGATAAAGTAGAATGTGATAGAAATTGACAAAATTGAAAGTACAAAGACAAAGTCTGTATGTACTAAACTGGATCATTTTTTTATCCTTTGTGAAATGAAATAATTCTCAAAGAGAAAATGAGTTGTCAGATCAGCCTTTTTCTTTTCTTTTTAATGAAGTGCAGGTATTTTCATTCTTTCAGTCATTGAAACAACTTGTAATGTTGATCAAAGCCACTAAATAGCCATAAGTATTCATTAGAAGAAGGCATTACTGACTAATGCATTAGAGACAGTCTGAAAAGGGCACAGATAACACAATTCGTCAAAACAATGTTATTTTTTTTTAAATAAGTGAATTTCCCCTCCAATTACAGGTATATCATGTAGATAAGGAAACATAGTTTGGATTTTTTTTTTTTTAAGTATGTTGGAAATAATTGAGTCTATTGTGTTGTTTAAGATCTAGAAAATAAAATCAAGCTATTTTTTTTATACCCTGGGGGGGACTCATCTTGGAAACTGCTTGTTAATTAGCGTCACATTACACTTTGCATTATTATTTATTGTAAAGCGAATGCTGTCAATGCAGGTGTCTACAACTTTGGCTGCACATAAAGTGGCCTGAGTTCTACTGCTGCAGAAAAAAATTATAAAAGCTTCAACATCGCTTTAGGAAATAATGCAGGTGAAATCATTCCCATTCCTCTACTGAATTCTCAGTAGAATTGTCTATTATAACATTGATTGACAGCAATAATATAAGACTAAAATTTTTTCCTCCCTCCCGTCTTTCTTTCCTTCTTCCTAGGTTATAACAACTATAAATAAGATGTATTGCTAACTGTCAAGGCTCACTGTGGAGTAGACTGCCTAGAAAATTAAACATTAAATATAAACACAGGTCAAACTCTGGAAGATGGTGTAAGTCTGATAATGTACACAATTAGGCACCTCTCTTTTGATTAGAAATATGTACTGCTCACCATATTATTTGAGCTTTGTGAACCGTATCCGCTGGTCTGATATCCCTGTTCTTTGGACATCTATATTTCTCATCTGGTTCTAATATCCTAACAAAGATTACTGTGTTATCGTAGGGTTTTTGTTGTTTTATTTTCAATTATTGCATTTTGATTTTTGAGTCCAGAATAACCAGGTTTCAATACTGAAACTGCAACTAAGTATCTGTATTTTCATTTTTTCTTGGATCCTCTGTATTTATCTATATTGGTATATCAGAGAGGTATACTTAATTATTTTTTAAAGAAAATTATTAAGTTTAAGGAGGGTATCATTGTACAGCATATATGAAAACATGGATTCAAATATTTGTTATCCTCATGCTTCTAGGAGATGAGTCAACGAGCTTTGGGGTCACGTAGTCTGATAGAGTATCTTCATCATTGACATTTCCACTGTTACAGTAGTTAATGTTGTTAATAAATATTCATATACATGTTTTAAATTCCACTCTTAGAAGCAAACCCACAATAAGATAACAGTACATGGAAAGAGGAATCAGATCTTCCAATTATAGTGTTCAGTCATGCAATTACATATTTAAGGCCCTGATTTAACTAATAGAATTTTGGTTGTCTTAGTTCTTTCTGTCGGATATCATATCTAATTACCTGCAGCTCTGAACTATGTCAGCAAGCACTAAGCAAATTCATTAGAAAATATTAAGGTACACTCAACAAATTTAGGTAGTGATCATTTTACAATATAACTACTAACTTAGAGCTAAAAGGAGGCTGAAATAATACTTTCTGATTATAGACTTAGAAAGATTGACAACTGATAATACATAGTTACATGGACTTATGTATTTTGGGGATGGTTTTCTTATTTAAAGCCCTGAGAATTCTCAATGATGAGAACCACATTGTCTTGAAGAGAGATGATGACTTAAAAAAAGTAAAGCCCTAGGAAATTTATGAGCGGACTTAATGTTCTGTCCTTTGAAGGCAATAACCTCATTTAAGGAAAATTAAAGAATTTCATTCCGTCATCTATTTTTGCCAAAGCTTGCTACATGTTTTTTAAGGTGTTCAAGAAATACATATTCTTTGTCCACACCAAAGAAAATGCAAAAAGCCTAATTGATATATACTAGCACTCTCCAAACAATGTGAGCCATGTATGTCATTGTTAATTTTGAACAGTCAGATTAAAGAAAATAAAAATAAATAGGTGATTTCATTTTAATAATGCATTTTATTTTGCCCAACTATAACCAAGCCGTTTTCATTTAACATGTAATCAATATGAGATTATTAGTGAGATCTTTTATATTTGAAACGTATTAAGCCTTGGAAATCCAATACACGTTTTATGCTGACAGCCCATGGCAATTAGAACTAGCCACATTCAAGTGCTCAAAAGCCACATCTGGGTAGTCGGCTAGTGTATTGAACAGTGCGGGTCTATACAGTGGACAGGACAAGGAAATAGAGAGTGGCAAGGAAGCTTCATAGGGGTGATATATTTCAAAAGTTGTAAGTTTTAGCATCACATAAGGGAAGCTGTTCATACAGTTCTTTCAAACATGTAGCCCTCCCCAGTGAGAAGGGCTAGATTTTAAGTAGAAATTTCTCCATTTAGTCCTATTTAATGAGTGCAAATATTTTAGCGTTTTTTGAATTATTTCCAACTTCCTGACAGTGCAATATCTAGCAACTATTGCCTCAATTTTGCATCTTCCTTTCTTCCTTTTTCTTCCTTTGAATTCCCCCCAAAAGAGATCCTGAGACAAGGATTTGGGTACAAGTAGTTTGTTTGGAAGATTACCTCCCAAAACACTTATAAGACAGTGAGGAAGTGAGATAGGTGAGAAAAAACAGGCAACGTCAACCCTGTTACGACTGTTGATAATTTGAACTTACTCAATGTCAACATGGAACAGGCACCTCGGTGTTAGCTCATGGGAATAGTGAAGGGTGATGACTCAGCTACTTATACAACTATTTCCATCAGTCAATGAGCGATGGCTCTTCCCAGATGGTGCTGATTCTCCAGCACTTCTGGTCTGCCGAAAGAAGGCCCTGGTCACTGAGAAAGCTTTCAAGCAGTTGACAGTCAAGAGGAAATATACTCACACACGCAGACACACTGATCTACCTGCAAACACTGTACCTGAGCTTGATTGCCACAGGACAGATGTAGCAGAAGCTGTTAATTGAACATGATCATCTTTTTCTATGTGTTAGGGTTCTTTCTGGAACAGCTTATTCTGCTAGAGACAGCAATTTCTGGGGCCCTCTGTACCTAGGTAAGGCCAAGATATTAGTCTCTTGCCAATAAAATGGGAGCTGAAGTAATGATCGTAACTTTTTTTTCTCTTGGGTCACTTGCTTCAGACAGAATTTCTGGCCCTGCACTAGACTTGTGATTTTCCTCTGCTACTCCACTTGCCTGGCTCTTAGCCTGGACCAGTGCTACTCTGTGCACCCTGAGCACGGAGTCGTCGGCCATGAATAACTGCCGAGTGCACTAGCACTTGTCATGGAATGTTAGGTGACAAACTTGCCGAACACTGCATTTCAAAAAATTCATAGTAAAAGCTATTGAATATTTTACACTAATATACCACAAATAATGAGGAGGAGGAGGAGGAGGAGGAAGAGAAGGAGTTATTATTAATATAAGTAATTTGAGCCCTGGCCGGTTTGGCTCAGCAGTTAGTAGAGCATTGGCCTGCAGTCCAGAGACACCCGGGTTCAGTTCCCGCTAAGGGCACGTACCTTGGTTGCAGTTTGTCCCCAGCCCTGGTTGGGTCCTGTGGGTGGCAACCACTCGATGTGTCCCTTTCATGTCGATGTTTCTCTCTCTCTCTCACTCTCTCTCTCTTTCTCCCTCCCACTCTCTCTGAGCAAAATATCAAAAAATGTCCTCAGGTGAGGATAAAAATAAATAAATAAATAAATAAATAAATAAATAAATAAATAAATAAATATGTAACTTGACCAAACACTGACAGGATGCCAGCTACTCTTCTCAGTGTTTAATATGTATACATTATTTGAGCTCACAACCAACATGTAAGATAGGTGCTATTATTAGCTCAATTTTATTGATAAGAAAGCAGAGGAACATTGACATCTTATAAATTTCCCAGTATCACATAGTTATTAAACGGCGGAACTGGCACTCTAGACCAGGCTGTTGGTGCGCAAGTCTCTGCTCTCAACTAGCATGCTTAGGATGAAAGTATGGATACTATAATTCTTAAGTATGGATTACACAGGGGAAGGGTGATCAGAAAAACAAATGTGTGTATGTGTGAATTGAAAGGCAAATATTAGATAGAATTTCTTAATTCACAGGCGGATAACAAAGAGAAAACAATTTATTTCAAAAAATGTTTTTTTCTTTATTGATTTTAGGGAGAGAGGAAGGGAGAGGGAGAGAGAAACAGAAGCATCGATGAGAGACAACATTGATTGGCCGCCTCCTGACTGGGGATCAGGCCCACAACCTGGGCATGTGCCTTGACTGGGAATCATCCGGTGACCTCTTGTTGCACGGATCGATGCTCAGCCACTGAGCCACACCAGCTGGATGATTTTCCCCAAATAATTTTTGACAAGTGTGCAAATATGGAACTTATATTCTGCCCTGGCTGGTTTGGCTCAATCGGTTGGAACATTGTTTCATGCACTAAAGGGTCTCAGGTTTGATTCCTGGTCAGGGCACATACCTAGGTTTTGGGTTTGATCCCTGTTGGGGAGCGTACAGGAGGCAACTGATAAATGTTTCTCTCTCACATTATGTTTCTCTCTCACATTGACGTCTCTCTCTCTACCTGTCCCTTTCTCTCTCTCTCAAATCAATAAAAATGTGTCCTTGAGTGAAGATTAAAAAATTCAAATAAACTTATATTCTTCCAATTCATTCTGCCCTTGAAAAAACAGGTGCTATCATTTGACATTTGACTACTGAAAATCTATTTTGCAATACTCTTCTGCAGGGTTTCTGTGGTTGCTTATGGCATCTCTGGTTTCTCTGATGATCTAGTTGTGATTCCTGAGATGCTTTGCCATCTGTCTGTGCCAAATCCATTTGCCTTCACCCCATGTGAAATGACCTCCTTAGCTCTGGGCAAATTTAACTAAGTCAGTGATTCTTCTGTGAACTGGAAAGGATTATAGCAGTGTCTGGCAAAACTCCACTGCTGAGAACTCTCCCAAGTGAGGCTAAGTCTGTTGATTTTTTAGAAACAACTCTGAACAACCTGAATATCAGGCTTATAGAGATGCTTCCAGTATTTACAATTTATAATTAGAAATTTCTTGGCAGTAGATGTAGCCTTGGTCTTCAGGATCCAAGGTAGATAGAGCTTTGCCCATTTCTAAGTACTCCTGGGAAACTGGAAACTCCTCAGGACCCTGGCCTCCCGCCCCCCCCCCCCCCCCCCGCCACCACTTCATTTCTTTATATTTCCTGGAAAGTGGATAGTAGCAGATTAAGTGGAGTTTAACACTATATTTATCAATAAATGAATAGCTCACTCTTGTTTCTTTCTGAAAAGATCATTACGTCTTTCCTCCTACTGAATGATTTTAGAACTTTAGTTACGATTCTGGTTTGGGCTTTATCTTGATTGCGCCTTCATATGCCACTACAATTTTAAAAACTGTGATTTGCTTCAAAAGAATGTTTGGGAGAAATATTAAAACCCCCTTTGTCAATTATCTTAACACCTATCTCTGCTTGGAAAGGATTTATTTAATCAAATCTAAATTAAATATTTTTTGCTAGACTTCGTTATTGTTTCTTTCCCCTTAGGCAAATGTATGACCTAGTAGAATATCTTTTCCTAAACTTGTTCTAATTTTCTCTCTCTCCCATATTACTCTTGCAGATTGGGAAATCTCAAGTGCATTAGCTAATTATGCTAACAATATATAAAATATTGATCACTTTTGTCTTGAAACTCAACTTAGCTTTTCTGAACTTTTGATAAAATTTAAGCCTGATACTAGACATGCTGCTTAGACAATAATCTACAATGTCATCCTATTTGACAGACAGAAAAAATCTAAGTCCTTATGATGCCCTACAAGACCACTGATGACCTGTCTTCTCCAACTCTCCCTTACTATACTTTCTCTGGCGAACTCTGCTCCGCTAACCTCCTTGTACTGCCTCTTATAAGTCAAGAACATTTCTGCCCAGGAATTTAAATTAGCAGTTCTGCCCTGAGCACTCTTCTCCAAGCTATTTATATTCACTTTATTTTTATTTTTTAAAAATTAATTTATTTTTGTTACAGATATTTCTCCTTTTTCCCCCATTGACACCCTCCTCCCGATTTCCCCCCTTCCATCCCCAGCATTGTCGTCTATATCCATGGTTACACATACATGCACATAAGTTCTGTGGTTTATCTCTTCCCTCCCCCCACACCCCTTCTTCTAAGGTTTGTCAGTCTGTACCCTACTTCTATGTCTCTGGGTCTATTTTGTTCATCAGTTTGTTTTGTTCATTATAGTCCATAAATAAGTGAGATCATGTGATATTTGTCTTTCTCTGCTTGGCTTATCTCGCATAGGATAATGCTCTCCAGATCCCTCCATGTTGTCTCAAAGGATAGGAGATCTTTCTTTCTTACAGCTGCATAGTACTCCATTGTGTATATGTACCACAGCTTTTTTATCCACTCATCCATTGATAGACACTTGGGCTGTTTTTAGATCTTAGCGACTATAAATGGTGCTGCTATGAACATAGGGGCACATATATTCTTTCTGATTGGTTTTATATTCACTTTACATTTTTGTTCACGTGTCTCCTTCTCAGTGAGGCTTCTTCTGACCTCTCAACCCCACCCTGTACTCTCCATGTCATTTACCTTGTTCTCCTTTCTCTGTTTTCCTTTGCACTGATCACATATTACATATCACGTAATTGACATATTCCTTATTTTTTTTATTGCTTATTGTT